TTTTTTTTTTTTTTTTTTTTTTTTTTTTTTTTTTTTTTTTTTTTTTTCATCCAACTACTCTCCAAAGTATCCAAAGCATCTTCAATTTTTTGATTCAGAAACGACAGGGCAAGTTTCAGCCATCACGAACTAGGTGGTGGGGTGGCAAGTCACTGGTTCAGTTGTTTCCCCATCAATTGCACCGGCAGTCAAGCCGAGCCGATTGAAATTCCAGCGACGCATCGTATTATTATTATTATTATTATTATTTTTTTCCAGTCGAAAATCCTCCACCCCGCGTTCTCTACGAGCCCTAGAAAAAACTCCGTCTATCGGCCGCGCGTTTGTATACACGAGCATACACGTATAGGCGAAATGTACATACATCAATAATCCCCTACTGCACATATACGTATGCGGTGGGGGAGGGAGAAAATCGCGCAGAAATGGCTCTTAATTACACCGATCCCATTGAATTTCGCCGGGGCTCCCTGCCGAGTCGTGCTCGAGACGAGGGGTGGGAAAGGGGAGCCACGTGCACCCACAGAAGTGTTTTTCGAGAGTCCCCGACCCCTCGCATTATCCACGTCCCGTGGACCATAATACGCGCACTCGGGCGATACGCGTGTGCGTGCGATATACAACAACGAACGGGAATTGATAGTAGGAGGGGCAGAAGGAGGCAAGTAGGTATCGAGCTCTTTGGGATTTTCCCGCAAATTCCTTCGTGTTCTGTGAATAATTGGCCCTGCGGAGGGTTGGGGCTGCTGCAGTTGTCCGTGTGTATATGGGAGTAATTGTGGGCTTTCGCGATTTTCCGTCCCACCGAGCGAGTCATCTTTCTACTTTTTCCGAAACATCGGTCTGCTGGTTGACGTTTTTTTTTTTTTTCCAAACCGTGCACGCACCATGTGTAAGGTACAACGAGGTATGTATAACGTCAAGGAAGGGCGCGCTACCAAATCGAAATTGGTCCATCCGTGACATTTTTTTATTGCCTGGCTTGACGGATGACGCAGATTTTGCCTCGTAATGCTTGTTTTTTCTCCCCCCCCCCTTTTTTTTTCACGTCCAACAAATGCCATGACGAACAGCTAATACAATCTAATAATATTAGCTGCGTTGGAAAAATTTGATTCATTTGTCAAGACGTAAGGATATTTTTGGACATTATTTTATGGTGTACATATATATCTTCTTTTTTTTTTTTTTTTTCATTGCGAGCGGAGTTGAAATATTAATTTAAAAAATGATGCATCGGAAAAACTGCACCATTTGTTCTGGTTGCTTTTACAGTTACAGTTGTCACTTCTGGTAGGAACTTCACCAATTTTAAGGCGTCAGGATCAGATATGAAAACGAAACTACCGTACAATTCAAGCCTAATTTTATGACAATTTTAGTAATTTGTAGAAATACGTATACACCATCATATTATACTGCCATTTTTCAATAAACTGATTCTAGTTCCAATTTTGGTTCAATAAACGTATACAAGTACATTATGGGTAAAGCTTGGATTAAACTATTTTTTTTTTTTTTCACAAGTAGGAGTTTTGTCTATAGTATTGAGTGTTTAAATATTTATAAATACATTTCCGCGTAACTTGTATAAGTGTCATGGAGGAGTAATGCCAAAAATGACTCTTTATTCGACTTTAGTATTGCGATACCATGACCCCTAAAAAATATCGTTCGCGGCCACAAAATAGGTGTAATCCGAGATGAGAAGCGACAAAGTCCCCAGCAGCTTATAAATAAAAAAAAAAAAAAACTTGGTACAGATCAAAGTTATTTCTTATCTACGAGTCGTCTGCATCCGCAATCTCTGCGCCATAACGATGACAACACGTGCAGCTCGACCATCACCCTCTGTTTCTCAAAGAGGCATTGTCGCGTCGACCAGAGTGTTTTCTATTTTTTTTCTCTGCTACCCCGATTGTTGTATCAGTAGATCGATAATCCGCTCGTAGGCGTATACCAGACGTGCTTATACGTATCATATAAAGATGCTGGGACAGAAGGAAGTCAGTCACGATAACAGAGAGGGTACACCTACGGTGAAAAAATGAACGGACCGACAACGAGGGCGTGACAACTTTCAGAGATGCTATCGCAGTTTCAGTCCCTGACATAAACAATATACATTTGGCCGTTTTTTTCAATTTCTAGAATACGGATAGAAGGAAATACAATTTTTGTTGAACAAAATACTTTTACTGCAGCAACCAATGCTATACACATACATAAAACTACAATTGAAAAAAAAAGAATACAGATGAGAATAGTAGTTTTCGTCACTTTTATGATTGCATCGGTGAGCTCTGATGGGCCACGTCCAAAGTTGACAAAAAAAAAAAAAAAAAAAAAAAAAATTAAAGCCTGAGGTAGGAAATGCACTGTTTTCTTTGTCATTCTCTGATATATCTTATGCCGAGCCTCCCTTTATTTGAAAATTTAAATCCAGTGCAGCCCCTTCGTATCATATTAAACCAATACTCCTGAAAGTTACATTTCGTTTTCATTTCCTTTTTTTTCTTCTGCTAAAAATAAGCAGAAACCTCAAGTAAAGTATAGATATCGACCCTCTATTTGGTCGGTCGAATCGAGAATCAAACACCGCAATCTCACCAGCACCGAGATATAGAGCCACTGCTATAACGGCAGGGAGGGAAAAAAAAAAAAAAAGTCCCAGCACTGCAGGGCGAAGGGTCGCGCGTAATCTAATAAACGACTTTTCGTCGGCATATCGCGGGCACGCGCTAGTCCTGAATAGAACGCCGTAGCGCAAGGGTGTCGCCCCAACAGCGCGGCTCGGGCGTGTGCATCCGCAGACTCGCCGCATTCACCGCCGACTATATAGACAGGCCTATTGTGAATTAGCATCCATTCAGGCCTGGTAATCGAATACAGTCCCGTGATAGCGCGGGAGATTTGCGGCCGACTTCCGCGACAGCTATACAAACGCTTCGCAAACTCAGACGAGAGCATCTCCCGGTTTCGATACCGCGAGTCACGCACAGCAAGCTCTTCCATTTAAACAACTCTCCTGCTTTTTCTTCTAAACAACACGATAACACAACAACAACCTGACTCAACGTAATCGCGAGTCCCAAAGCTCATCGTCTCGAAGGAACCGAGTTACAACGGACCCGAGATCAATTTTTTTTCTCTTTTTACTGAAGATTACCGGCTCACCCGAGACTCCATGTGGACAATCGATTTTCGATGATTCGGCGGATATAACATACACTCGCATATTTTTTTCTTCCTCGAGTCATTTATCACGATGTTTGCGTGTGTTACGGGGCTAGTCCGACGGAGAACAGGAGCAAGGCAAGATAGGTAGGGGGACGCTTTATCTCTTCCCCGGCTGTGCATCTGCCGTATGCTAAATTGAATATGAAATTATGCAGCTTATCGCCCCGGCATGTAAGGGTGTATAGCCGGCCAGATAATAGAGTGTCATGATTTCGCGCGCGTGGGGTGTGGAGGAGGTCCTTGGCAGCCAGAAGTTGGCTCTCGTTTCAAGGACTCGCTCGAGGAGCGGGTGAGTTGAATTTCGATTAAGAAAAAATAAAAAAATAAAAAAAAAAATAAAGAAAAATAGACTCACCTGTCTTCACCTGGTACTTGAGGGTCGTCGAGCAGTCGACCAGCAGCTGCTGGAGCGAGACCCCAGTGTCGGGGATCTCGAGGTCCAGGAGGCGCATCATGTCGCCCGGGTGGTGAAAGTCGAGGACCTTGGAGCTCCTGTCGCTCTGGTTCTTGATGTAGTCGATCAGTATGTCCACGACCTTCATCAGGAATTCCCGGGTCGCCGGGAAGCCCTCGGCATTCTGTGGCAGGATGTCTGCGCCATTCGAGGAATAAAACATTACGGGGGTTTAAAAAAAAGGAGGGTAAATTAACATTTTTATCGTTTGGAATTTAACGCCACGCATCGAGCACCAAGTGGCAGTCGTCGAACTGCAATTGCAACTCCAGCCGGAGCGACAATGCAGGACATTGTGCGCCAACTTTCGCGACCGATGCGCAATCAATGGACGTGCGTGGGTTATTGTTTGGTCATTTCTCCGTTGCCATCGATGATGTTATCGTTGATTTTCCGAACGGCTTCACCTCATCAAACAATTGAAAGTATAACCTTAACTGACACACTCTCACTTGTTTGGTGGCATGAGACCATGGAATCTCCGTCCCTCCATTGTATCGTGTGGCCATTTCAAAATTACGATGCGCGTGTGTATAACACCTAAAACGGAAAAGAGCTTTTTGCTTCCATGAGAATTGAGTCCCGGCGCATTGGTAATTTTCTTCCGCTCCTAAGCCACGCGAGATCCCCAATAGATCTCTATTTCCATCATCGTTATCCCAGGGATCAAGTACAAGAGCCGAAGGACTCCCGTGAGTTTCATATATCAAAATTACATTACATACGGCCACGTACTTGATCCTTTATGTATTCATTGTTCATTCAATACTCAGGAAAATACTTGATAGTTATAAAAAAAAAAAAACAATTTTGTGATTGTTTAAAACAACAGTAAAGAGAGAAAAAAAATATCAGAACGTTTATATCCATCCGACATCGGGAGGGGGGAAAAAAAAGGGAAGGTACAGGATCTACGTAACGCGAGAAGGGGAGGCTTGATCAGTCAGTCACTTGGACGGGGGAGGAAATCCCCTGGCTTCTTCGGTAAGATCTGGCTAATCTCGCCCCATCAATCTAAGGCCTCGTGGCACGCGCGCTTATAGTTTTCACGAAAAGACAGATAAGGAGCGAACCTTATTTAATACTATTTTTTTCTCCCTCGTATAACGACTGCTTACGGGAAAACGGCTCCCGCTTACCTACTCGAAAATAATGTCACCACGAACAAGTAAGCATACTATACACTTCTCCGATTGATCACTTTGCGAATGAATATTGTTTCTGTCCGAAAAAAATTATACACTACCGAGCCTACCAAGGGGTACATATATATATATATATATATACATCACAGCAACGAGGGACGGAAATTTGCCGAGTGCGCTCGCCCNTATATATATATGTACGAGGGTATGAGGTGTACTGCGCGATGAATCTTTGCTAATGCTTACGACGGCTGCAAGCTCCGTTAGGTGCCAGCTGTGGCACACAACATCCCTCGCCCGGACTTTAATCAGAGCTCCGGGTATACAACGAAGGGACGCGAGCCTCGCTGGGAGTCAGCTTGGTGAATTTATAAGCTGGATTAGGCCGTGCGTTTATTGTTTTTACCTCAAGTCAAGAGAGAGAAAGAGATGCTGATTTATCCGCACTTAAAAACAGGGCAGCTGAACATCGGGGGGTGGGGGTAGGGGGGGGGGCTTGTAAAAAAAGTAAATGAGTGCTCGTATAGGTGGGTGGAGATAAGGCGCGATTGAAATGCGTTGTTTGCCCAACGGAAGCGAGGTGGCTCTTATCGTGGCGCAGCACATGCCGAAACGTAAATATAATGTACATTAGCGCCCCGCGTATGTATACATACATATATATATATATATATGTGTGCATCGCGTGAACCCTTCCTCCGAGATACACCCCCCTGCGGTCTTGTAATCCGTGCGCCTTTGAGCTTCTCCAACTCTTCGAGCTAATTCCAAATCCTCGATTATTATGCACCCCTTCGCGCGTGTGCGGGTCCCGTCAAAACTCACGGAATCCGTGTCGGCGTGCCGCCGTCTTTTGTTCATTTATTTTAATCGAAAAACAGATTTATCTCTTCCAACCACCCGCAAAACGTTTGCTCTCTCGCGGCCTGTCTGAGATTCGGTTAAACGCGTTTTGGAACTTCTCACGGAGAGTCTTGTCACGTCATATATTACTTCAAATTAACTATTTCTCTCCACGCACCTTATTGGGGAGTCAGGTGAACCTACAATTGGAGGAAATAAATTATCAATCGATAATCGGACCATTGGTCATTTAGAGGATATTAATACCAATCGAACTATCCAGCCAACCATGGGAATTTTTATATAGTGGTCGATTTTTGACAATTTTTAAGTGTGTAATCATCTGATGTGATTCAATGTATAGTCTTTTATACTTTGATGAAAAACAATATTATAAACCAATACAAAGCATTTCACCAGGATTGAAATTGTTAAACTTACATAATGTACAAGTGTTAGGATTTTTCAAGAAATATAATGTTCTTGTTTGCTTAACGAAACAAAGTGCGTGTCACTTTATTTTTCTCATATCGCATTTATCTTAATGAATCTTAATAAAAAGTCACGAGTCATTTTTTACCAATAATTTACGGTATCAAGTTTTTTATACGACTTGCAGGGTTGGACGGGATTCAGAAAGCTTATGTTTCGATAGTACCTCTGAGATTCAAAGTAAATACACACACGCCTTTTATTGGATTGTCATGGAAATTAAATATGGTCTACTGAAAGAAATACATCTATATGACCCCTTTTGGTCAGTGTAAATGTTAACGGTATTGATTATTGAAAATGGTAACTATGAAGTACGTACATATCAAGTTTTATGATTAAACGAAGCCATGTAAGATTAAAAATAAAATATAATGAAAATTACATGTGTTACAATATTATACATGTGTCTTACCTGAGTATTTGAGATTACAGTGCTCCTTGGAGAGCGAGTACGTGTTTTCCGAACCCATGAGTCTCGTGGGGGAGTGCGTTCGGGCAAAGTTCTGAAATTCAAACGAGAAAAGCGTTGCTCCATTTGAAAATGCTTTACTCGCTTTACGCAGTCAAAATTCTGACTTTTCCATACAATTTGTTCATACATACGCAAGATAGTTTCAATGTAAAGTTTCTACACAATGGAGAAAGTTGCAAAATGCTTAGACGAAAAATAAATATCGTAAATGCAGTGCAAGTAAATGAATGAAAAAAAAAAAAAAAAAAAAAAATCATAATCAAAGAATAGCGCTGACAGATATAGGGAGAGAAGGCAAGCTGTGTATACATATATACACGTATATGTAGTAATGAAAAAAAAATCCATATATGTATACACACGGCGAGATATGCGAGAGATGGATATGAATGGCCTTACATATAAGTATTCCTTGATCGCTGTTATTTTAGTGCCGAACATTTGCACATTGTCCATGACTCTGCAGTGCCCCTCGCCTCAGATCCCTACAACAATCAATAACAAATAGTTCCACTACAGTTCAACTCTTTCACTTTCTATTTTTCATTTTTTTCTGGTTTGTGAGTTTTTTTCTTTTCTTTTTTTTTTTTTTTTTTTTTTTTTTTTTGGTTTTTGTTTTTTTTTTTTTTTTTTTTTTTTTTTTTTTTTTTTTTTGTTCTCCTGCACCAGACTTTAAATTCTGTTTCAAACGTGCCAAACGCAACAAGGAGCACCGGTGGAGCACGGCAGACCGAGCGACCAAGAATACTTTTTTCTGATACAACTAGGAAAAAGAAGAAATAAATAAAGTGTATTTATTTTTTTCCTTCATTTTTGAATGATTTACTAAAAAAGAAAAAAAAATTCGTGAATGCATGGATTATGATGTTGCTCAATTGTAATCGTATCGCTTGTTAGTTGTACTCGGCAACTGAAAAAAAAAAACTCCTTTTATAGTGACCCATGATTCGTAATGATTTTTTAATGTATATAGATTACGTCGACTTCGTTTGAAGGGACGAAAGGTTTCCATCACTAGACAAACAGTTGTGATAAGTAATCGTACATTAATTTGTAGAAAATTATGATACATAATATTTCTGTGACAAGTTTAATGTTGATGAATATTTATTTCATCCCTAAACCGTATTAAACTTCCAAATAATACATAACACACGTGAATTTCTAACAGTGCAAAGTTGGTATGCAAATGTGAACATATAATTATAATTGTATTATTATTTTGAGAATTTCAAGGCGCTTTCCTTAAAAACGTAGATGTATATTGTCTGTACTTGTCACTATATATTTCGTAATAAATATTCATTACCAATAAAGTTTCAGCGTTTAACAATAGAGAAAGTCTTAATCAGTATCATTACATTTTTATTGACATGTTTACCAATGAAATAAACTGTGTCAAAACAATTGATTGTGTCTAATACGTAAGCATAAAGAGTATAACATGTTTATAAATAAAAAATAGTAGTCTTTGAATTACTATTCTTCAATAGTCCTGTACTACATTGGTCGTTGAATGCAAACAATAATTCTTTTTATCATTGATCGGTGGGAGGCATGTACATATAGGGTGAAGATTAATTAAGGACACGAAGTTTTATAATACATTTGAAATGCCTTGGCAACTAGCCAATCTTCAGAGGGCTGTTATGCAAAGTTCACGGTTCTCCCCGAACAAATTTATCGAAGGCCATTTTTTTTAGATACAATAATTACAATTCAATACAAATATGTGCGTACCTGTACGTTATATATCTACATGCTCTCTCAATGTGTAAACCTAAGATTCCAATGCGATGGCTCTTTTTTTGTGCGGGAAACATTTGTCTACCCTATAGTTGATTCGTCACACTGAGAGTTAAAAGATTTTTAAAATGTCCCTGCTAAGTCTAGAATGGTAACATGGGCAGATTTTACCGTCTAGGAAAGTTTTACTTTTGTCAATCTTATTTTTATTATGCTGGACGTTGATTGATATACTATGCAGAAAGTAAAACTCATTGTACCTATTTATACGGTGAAAATTATTATAAAATCAGTAAAAAATAGCGTTTAAACAAAAAGAAATCAAAGTGAAAAGTCTCTATGAACGATGGATTAATATTAATGAAAAAAGTCATAAAAATAACACCCGTCATTTACAATTTTATGAACTTTGTGACGTCATACGCCCTTCCCTCCCTATATTTGTTATTTCACCACTTATATATTAATGTTAAAAAAATAAAAAAGAAATACCTTTCAAATATTTTTTTAATTAAGTATATTTGGTGGGCCAAATATGAACATAAATAAATATTATTTGAACTACATAATGTGATTTTAAATGATGACACGGGAAGTAAAAATGCAAGAACCGCACTTTTGACTTTTCCTTGTAAGATGCAATGATAATTTGAAAATATCGATGACGGCTTGAAGGATATCCTTAATATTGACATTATAAAATGTCATATAATAAATATGAGTCATGACTACCGAGTGCATACTGTGTATGACTGTGACGTGAATTTTTAATTATGTACGGAGGTGATTAATACAGAGAGATTGCGACTACAAGAAAAATATGCAAGTGCAGGAATATAATTTTTACGTTAAAATATTGAACCCTAATAACACATGGCATACAAAAGATTCAGCAAGAAAAAAAGTATTGAAAGGTATAAAAATCATCAGATTTTTGAACATTATTTTCTAAAATATGAGACAACTGAAATAAACGTGAAAAGGTGTATGATTATTTGGGTAAAAAAAAAAAAAAAGAAAAAGTATAAAACACTGCGGATAAGGATGAAAAGGAAGGATGGAAAAATTAACGGTAAAAAACGAAAAGGAAGAAAAAAAAAAGCTGACCTGTCTCCTGTCGGCTGGCTTCCGTTGTCCTCAGCGGCAGCAGCTCGCTGGTGGATATCCTCCTCTCCGAGAGCAGCTATCCCTCAACTGGATACCTCTCTCCTACAGCCAGAAGGAGCAATAAAAGAGAGAGAGCGAGAGAGACACGCGGCGAGTACTTTGACGGGTGTGAGCGATACAAGAGGAGAGGACGAGCGAAAGGAGTAGGAGGAGAAGGACAAAATACGCCGGGGTAGACGGTACGAGTAAATGGGTAGGTTGTTGCTGCTGCAGCGAAAGACGACGAGAAGAGACTTTGGGGTGGCTTCGCGCGGGACTGCGGGTCCAGCGCGGCCAGATCTCTCTCTTGGCTCGGCTGCCGGGCGGGAGGGTGAGGGGTGGCGCTCCGGCTGACCCAGTTTCTCCCTCGGCCGTGGACCAGAGACAAGAGGGTTTGCGAGCGCTACGGGGGCTATGGGCGTGGCCGAGCCTCCCCCCTCCCGTCCTCCGTTGGCTCGCATACAGCCAGGCGCGTGGGCGAGGTACGGGCGTGACGCCCCGGAACCAATGGCGCGTGGCACCCCCTCCGCCACCTACACCCCCTTCAAAAGTTGCGCACAGGGGTCATACCGTGCATCCCATCTCCCTCTAAATTCATCTCTCTCCCTCTCTAGCGAAGACAGACGAGACACACGCGCCGACGGATTCTCTTCCCTCCGACACGCTCCAACTTCCTAAATGCCTCTCTCTCTCTCTCTCTCGCGTAGCAGGTATACATACATAGGTGTTCTATATACATATATATCTGTGGATATGTAGATGATACGTGGGTGGGGTGATGCTGGCTGATACTGGATACCGGAAGATACATCCTCGAGGTGGGTTTCGCGCGTGGGTTTCACATTCTCCGGCTCGCTCGCGCTCGCGACGACCCCGTGCGGATGCCTGGCATATACACACTTACCGGACATGGACTGGAATGACGTATTCTGTTTCGAGGACCTTTTGCGTAACTGCTTTTTACCCCTCTCTCTGATGCACTTTTGTCGAGCAGATCTGTGTATAAATGTAACACCCCCGCGTGTAGTGGTTTTTTTTTTTTGCGTAGGTACTTACTACCAACTAACGTCACCGCGGCGAATTTGCTCATTTGTGTCTCTGCGGGTGAGGGCTACGTTTTTTATCGGGCACTTCAAAGTGAAGCAATTTTTTTTTCCATTTTCGTTTGGTGATGGTAATCTGTGGAAAATGTACTAACCCAAAGGAAAATATTGTCACCTATTATTTTGCGTATATACTTTAATTTTTATTCTTACGTTGGTGGACTATACATGGGTTATCGCAATCGAACGGAGGTTTCGTTGTAATATATATCTTATTACCAAAGTAATGTGCAAAACCACATAAACTCAATAAATTATGTACTGGACTATAAATAGTTTAACCTTGCAAGCTTTAGATAAGCATCGTTTAATTTTATAAACTATTAGTAAATTATTAAACAATTGTGGTTTTATTTTCATTGATAGGCTGATCATACTAAGGGGTATAGACAACTGCACCAAACATTCCTCCTCCTCAAATTAAATTAGTGAAAATGTAATGAAATATTAATATTGACATACTGAAAGTTAAGCAAATTTCATTGATTTTAAGATAAAATTCAATGATCATTATATAAATTCAACAAATTTTCCTTGGTTGTAGTTTTTTAGAGTTGTAAAATAGTGGTATGACTTGAACTTTTTAGTCTCATTATTCTATATCTTAGTCTCATTATTCTATACGTATGCTACACGTGGGAAATTGAATTTTTTTTGGATTAATGATGTAGTAATAACGAATTAACACCTGAAGATTAAAAAATTTTATAATGTGATGATTCCGGAAAGAGTAAAAAAATTAGACGAATTTGTGCAAAAAATTAATTTTTATGTTAAACTTACGATTGTAAAAGATTCTTCGATTTGACAAATTTTATGATTGGTGAAATGATTCGGGAATTTTTGAGAAATAATTTAAAGAATACACAATTATGTTGAATTCGATTTAATTTTGTGAAGGCCTTACGGCTATGCCATATGTAACAAACCAATTTATAAAGCCAATGGAAATAATTGGTGTAACCAATTGTAGGTAATTATTTTTTGTTTGACCGTTTCACAAGTTTACACTATTATTAGCATTAGCTTCAATTTTTGTTCTCATATTATATCCACATTCCAATACTTGAGATCAATTATTTGTTATTCAAATCATTTCACGATAAAATATAAAAGTTCTTAGTCAATAATTACTATCTCGTCAAATAATTATATTCATTAGTTAATTAAAAACGAAAGATTGCTGAAGCTATTTGCCACTGCAATGACGATGTACCCTGTTTGAGGTCAAAATAAATCAATTTTGCATTTAACATCGATTTCCAAAGAAAATTAGTAATCAGTATTGGATCGAAGGTAGAAAGAACTTTTTGTAATAAATGTGTATCATGAATCAGGTAGGAGCGGGAAAAACCTTAGTTATGAAATTTATGTAGACGAACGTTGAATGAAATTTCAGTTGACCTTCTTGGAACTTAAGAATTTCTTATTAGCACTAAATTGTTGGACAGGTAACCTTCGCATGCCATGGCAAGTGTACTCGAGGGTACCTAAGAACTAAGTAATCCCGCCTTCGTTTAGTCGATGGCCATCTCAGTTCAAGGCGACAGAAATTCACGAAAGTGGTGATGTTTTGCCAAAATAAACTATAGTATCATCAAATGGATTCTTCACACAGACTTTAGCATGTGTTGAGCTTCCAACGACAGTCAATGTGATTTCATTGCAAATTTTTTCTTCAATACGAATACTCGTGATGTCAAGGTTGCCTCACACAATAAGTCGCCTCGACGAAATTATCGTTTTCTCCGTGATTGGCGTATTGAAAATATGATTATACTTATAATTCAGAGTAAATCAGACCTCAACATGAGTTTGCTCACAGATTCGATTTGACCCATTTTTTACGAAATTTTGTTTTTTTTCAACTATTGTCACATGTACATGTTCATTTGTTTAATATTAATCAGTTAAATAAATTCTATTTATAGAGTGGAGCTGTACTGTCTCATTTTTTTTTCAAAGTAGCGAATGTGTCTTCCATACTAAAAAAAATGTAAATCTATATCACATTATGGTAATAATTCTTAAAAGATTTTACTTTGAAATAAATAAATAATGATTGTTTAATTTTATAATAGCTGAAGTTTCATCACCTTTCTATTCAAATAATTTGATTTTTTTTTATTCCTTACTTTTGACTCCAATTTCCACATGACATGTACATGCATCGCTAAATTTTTTTTATTCCATTACAAAAAGCATACCGTATTATTGGACACAATAAAAATTGTTTCTCAGTTAAATACGGAGTATTTAAACTTTTTTCTCGTCAAAAAATAAAATTTTTCTTACAAAAAAATTTTTGAAGAATGAGTAACAAAACATAAATCACAGGAACGGTATGAAAATTCTGAAAAAACCAAGTCAAATGTAGCTATATGCTTAATAAATTTTCAGTATTTACTCTGCCGCGCTTGTATTTCTACCTCCTAACTCTTACAGGTTTGGCGTCCCACTCGATACAAATGGGTTTTAATTTTTAAATAAAAAAGAAGTGCAATGAATGTGAAAAATTAACGAGTAAAGTTTTCATCGCAAAACAGTACGCCAACCGGTATACAGCTGCTGGCGGGTGTTGTTCGTTATTAAACTCAGGGTGCAGTCAGGCAAATTGGTCTTTAGAAGTTCGGCCATTTCCAGTTGCATGAAACTTTCGTCTCCCACCGAGCGTCTCGGGAAGTAAACTTCGCTCCCTAAAATTTGAAACCCCTGAAAAATTGAGGACTCTGCTTAAAACTCTCAACCATTCGTCAATACACCAAAGTTCCGAAAGAAGTAAATTTTTCTCCACAACGAAACACATGAACCGTCCAACACATTAAAAAAAAAAAAAAGTACCGGAATAGTACTACCTTGCCCCTTCCCTCAGCGAAAGAGGAATCCCGTATAGGGAGGACAGCCATTTCGGCTGGTCAGATGAAACCCCGTATATGTGGGCCAACGAGATGCATACCGAGTCCACACGCTGTCGCTCAAGAAAAAAAAGAAAAAAAAGGTAAAAGCTCCTCGAGGGCGGAAAAAGGGTACCTCGAGGCCTAGTCCCGCCGGAAAACGGGAATTCAATCGCACGTAGGGAGGAAACGAGTCTTCCCTCGCGGTACGCTTGCGCAGGAAGAAGAGGAGCCAGAGGAAGGAGGTCGAGGGTAAAAGGGAAGCCAATGGGGCAGCGTTGGGCGCAAGATGGCCGTCAGGGAGGATTTAATCAATACCGGGGGTGCACGCGTGTAGGCGTCCTTCGGGTCCAACTGGGGGGTGAGGGACTCGGAGGGTAGGGCGCGACCGGGCGTAATGTTTGTTCTTTACACAGCTGGCTCTCTCTCTCTCTTAAACTCTTACTCTCGACTCACCTCTTCCCTTTTTTTTTGGCTCGTGTTCTCGCGGCTATCTTTCACTCGGTCGTACGTATTTTTCTGAGGCTTCTCTGCTCTTCCGGGGTAAAAATATACACGCGCACGCGGAAGGAAGGAAGGTTGGCTGGTTGGCACCCACTCGCTCTCATTAGAGGGAGTGCTAATGTCTGCTGGCGCAGGTAGTTGGCTGCTCGTTGCTGTGCAACATTCCACTCTGTTTGCTTTTTGCCCCAACGAAATTGGACCTTGGATTTTTTTTTTTTTTTTTTTTCAAATTTTTTCTTGTAACCACCTTGAATGGAAATAAACTATGCCCGTTGCTGCAGCACTTACGCCCACATGGAGCTGGATTACTCTCGCGGGATATCTCTGGAAAGAGATTTTTCTCCATCTCTTTTTCTTAAAGCCCGAGGCCGCATCGCAACGGCGCAAAGTGAAAAGTTTTATCATCCGAGGGAGGAAAAACGAGGAATGCGGTGGAGCAGCGGTTTTCGTCGCGTGGTTCAAGGCTTTTCGAGAAAAGTTCGAGGCTATGAAACTGGGCTTCGAGAGGGAAACGATGATTTAATGATGCCGTATATATGCAAGGGTGTGACCATCGATTTTTGGGCATTTTCGGCGAATGCGAGTGATGTAGTTCCTACTTGCACGACTGGAATCAGAACTATGCGAGAACGGAAAAATGGCATATCGCGATGAACTCACAGCGTTTATTATATGCTAATACAATCTCGATGCGAACGGAATCATAAAGTTTCTTTTACGAGGTTTGCTCAAGCGGCGAGTATGCCGTGGTGGGGCTTGAAACAACACGAGCAGAGAAATAAAAAACAAA